TTTCTAACCCTCTTTCAAATTAGTTGCTAGTATATTATTGTTTTCTATACAGTGTATATTTTGATTTACTTATGTAACCATTTGTTTCTCCACCCACCTATGATTCTTGTATTTCAGTTCTTTCATCTGGCTTTTTACATTTTTCTGAATTGTCATTTATCAGTACTTTCAAGCCTGGGCTAGAAGACCTAGTCTCTTTGTCTTTATTGTCTGGCAATGTCTATTTCACTCTAACTTTTACAAAGGAGTTAAACTATATTACAATTGCAGTTACTTTTTTTTCAGTATGAAACACATTTCTAAATTTTCTTCAGGTGTCTGTTGCTTGTACAAAAATTGATCAGCCCAATTTTTGTTACTGTATGAATACTTAGTCTTCCTTTTTAATGCTGTAAAACTTTTATCATTATTTCAGGGTTTTATATTTTCATTATGGTATATCTGGGTGTGGGTTTGTTTCTACTTTCCTTTTTGACACTTACTTCTTTAATTAGGTGATGCTTTAATTTTGAAAAATACCAATTCATAGTCTCTTTGAATATTGCTTCTCTTGCTTTAGGAACTGTTTTTAAACGTGTGTGATACTTTGTCACAACATAACAAGGACTCTCACAGTCTAGTGGCTACCTAACTCCCTACTCTCTAACCTCATTTTTCTCTGTGCTCTTCATCCAAGAGTATTCGGTGATTGCTGATGGAAGGGAGGTATAAGGGGACCAAGTGGGAAAAGAAAAAAATATAACAAAGATAGAAAAAAGTCTTCTTTTAAAGGACCTTCTACAGGCTCTTTCGTGAGTGGACTGCTAACATTACTTCTCTTCTATCGGTTAACTGCAGCTCATCCCTCAGGAGTGCTTCACCAGCTTTACTGATGGGGCCTCGTAGGCTCCCCTTGCAATATCCTGCATTTTTCACTCAGAGCACTCGGGTCAGTGGCAAGTTTACAGTTATTTGATTGAGTATCCAATTAATGTATGTCAGGCTCTTTGACTAGATTTCCTGCTCCTCGAGAATAGTGGTTTGTTTGTTTTTGTTTTTTATGCTGTTGGCATTTTGTACACACTCGGGAAATATTGATAACAATGTTGAGACTAAAACCATCCAGGAGCGATCAAACCATCAGGGACCCAAGCAGTGCTTATTCATCTCCAAACATCCGCTTCAGTTCTTTCATGGTAGACCAGCTTTCTCCCCTTCGCTCCAGGCATTTAATACAATGAAAGGCTCGGGGTAAATAACCTCTCTAAATTCAATAGTACACAGCACCCCTGAGCCAAGACCATGCCCCTGTCTCTCACATTCTTTACGTGACCTCCACTTTAATTTCTCTGCCATCTAGAGCTAGAAAATGTGCCACCGACTCTGTGAATCATTTATGGCTAACTCCTTTCCCTCCCTTTTTTTATTCTGGGATATAACTGAGCAAATATGACTTTTTAAAGTAACAATACCTTCAAAAACCAAATAGGAGCCCTGGCTGGGTGTCTTAGTTGGTTGGAGCATCGTTCCACACACCAGAAGGTTGTGGGTTTGATCCCCAGTCAGTGCATGTGCCATCCATCTCTCTCCCTCTCTTACATACACACACGCACACATACATCTCTCTCCCTCCCTCTCTCTTTCTCTCTAAAATCAATAAACATATCCTTGGGTAAGGATTTAAAAAGTGAAAAAAGAAAGACTGTGTTTGCTCTCACTTGAATTAAATGACCCTCAGTACATTTACTTAACAAGTATTTGCTGAACCCCTCTTGAGTGCCATTCATTACATTAGGCCTGTTTGTAGTAAAAACAAACAAGGTGTGTGATCTTACTGAGATTATAGTCTAGAGAGGAAGCATTATTCTGATACTCACACTACTACTAAACCTATAATCAAAAATACATGAATGCTTAGAAAGAAAGGAATATGGTCCCTTGTGAATATTTAATAACTTGACTTGACCTATAAGGGAAGTTGCAGTATGATGGAGAAGTTTTACTTTATGAGTGATGACTGAGCTAAGATTTTAATGATTAACAGGAGTTACTAAAACAAAGAAGAGAGGTCAGAGCATTTCAAGAAGAAAAAAATTAGTATGTGCAAATGTCATACTAAAAAAATTAGTATGTGCAAAAAATTAGTATGTGCAAAAATTAGTATGTGCAAATGGCAGGAGGCAGACTAGCAATTCTGAGTATCTAAAAGAGACCAGACAGGTTTAAGAACAGAAGGGAAATGGAAAACTTATCAGAGTTTAGGATAAAGAGTTATTTAGGAGTGAAAGACAGTGTTGTGCTGGCTTATATGGGCTATGAAGGTTCAATTATATTTTAAGAGATTTTGTAAGCCAGCAGTTAAATGACTATTCCTGAAACCAAAAATATGTATATAAATTTATGTTAAATGAATTACATTAAAAGTAAAGATTTTCTCACTATTCTTAGTCATTTATAATTATTTTACTATTATTCATACTTCTGATTTCATTTACATCTATTGGTATGATGGGAACACTCTCTAATAATGTGCTACTGAACATTTCATTCTGACCTCACATTCAGTGATACTGCATTTACTAAACTTGAAATTGACATGGGTGGACGTTTACACTGTGAAAACTGGCAAACTTTTCAAGTTAGGATAATCCCTACAAAGCAGTTGTTAAACGCTTACCAGCACAGCTCTGAGGAAAACTATAGAGGACCCTAGAGGCTATGTTAAGAATTGACCTTTATCACAGGAGAAATGAACAGACATCAAAAGGTTCTAAGTGTGTTGTTGACAAAAACACATTTTTATTTTAAAAAAAATCGTTGAGACTATGGCAAGGAAAGGGGAGAAAGGTGACTTGGGGTGGCCCATATGGTAAATAATGGTGGCTCGGACTGGGACCACAAGAAAGGAAAACACAAGTGAATGGATTTGACATATATTACAGAGCTAAAATAGAGGGCTGAGCGCTGGGGGTATTAGGGTGAAACAGGCATGAGGAAGAAGTAAAATCTCCTTGGCCTCCCTGATTTCTAGTTGGTGGTTATAATGTTTGCATTTTGAGCCCAATCCTGCCACCATGTGTCAAAGAAGCAGCTTCACAACTGAACACACTTGGGCCTGAGAGGAAGACAAAAACTACAAGTGGAGCATACAAACTAAAGGGACTATCTCCATACAAAACTTAATTATTTGTCATCCGATTCATAATTTCCCACTTTCACACATGCGTAGTAGTGCTCATGTGGCAGTCACGAGAATGAGCTCCAAGGTCTCTGACTGTGAAGTGTGTACATGACCCAGGGCCCAACTGTCGTCCTCCGAAATGCAGCATTTGAGTCAAGGTCACCCTCCCACAGCTGCCCCAGACAGTGTCTGAACAAAATGGAGACTCTGGCCAGCCGGCTGTGGGAGACACCAGATAGCTTTGATGGGCGGCTTTAACTCCATGACTCCTCAATGCCCTTGGAAAATCTTTCCTATGACTGCCTCGTCTAACATGCTTCCACCCAATTTTCCTGTCTTTAGAATTACTCTCCTTCACTTGGGGTAAGACCTACATCTCAGTCCTATGTCTCTGCTGACCTCATTCACCGTGGCTGCCTCTGCCTGTGACCTTGAATGGTTTTGAGTGGTGGTTGTGACTCGGGTCTCTCTCCAGGTGAAAGCAGGCATCTCTGGTGTAGGTTCCTGAGTCTGAGAGAATGTTCTTCCCCCTTCCCCAAGGTCAGCCAGCTTTTCCTTCTACCCTGTCCCAGAGGCAGGAGCTCCTTGCCTGTGTCTGAGAGGTTAGAGGGTATTTATGTTTTTGGTCACTGCTCTGTTAAAGCTTCTGTTTTGTCAAAGAGAAGGGTCTGGGAAATGGGTCTGTTTGTGTGACTGTGTGCCCAGGACAGACTCTTTCCACTTTTTCCCTGCCTTCAGTCTCCCAGGTGAGAGGCACTTGGAAAAAAGACAATGAATGAGGACAGAGTACCTTGTCTGGGCTCCTAGAAATTCTAAATTGGTGTGGCAGCACACACTCTGCCTTTAATCACTCATTAAAGTCTTAGCTGGGTTTTTTTTTTTTCATCCTCACCAAAGGGTATACATGGTCTGGCACAAATAACACTCTGTTTTATTACAAAATCTTTTATTACGAAGTCATAAGCATATAATTGTGTAACATATCAGACTCAAGCACAAAATATGACATTGTAAGTGAAATATTCAAATTAAAACTAAATGTTACCCATATTAATACCCTACTACCAAGCACAACCAAGCAGGCCTTACTTCTGCTAGACCCTATATATTTACTGATTTTAGATAGAGAGGAAGGGGAAACAGAGAGAGAGATGAATGTGAGAGAGAAGACACCCACCGGTCTCCTCCTCTCTGTGCCCTGCCCTGGGATCAAACCCACAGCCTTATGATGTACCGGACGGTGCTCCAGCCAGCCAAGCAACATGGCCAGGGCCAACTGTTTGGGTTTTGTTACCAACTCTGGTGGAGGCTGCCTCTTTCCCAGTGGTTTGCTACATAGCTAGGAAACAATCCTGTCCTATCTATTCTAATAGGGCTTGAAACTCTGTATTTCCATTCATTTATTTTGTGATCTTAGTTCTCTGATTGTCTAGAAAACTTATGATTTTAAAAATTGGTATTTTCCCATTTTTAGCATGAGATTGATGTTCTTCTATAGCTTTCCACATGCTAAGCAAAACCCGCTCCTCTTCTTTTTAAAACTCATTTATATTTCTGCATCAGTATTTTATCTTTGATGGGCATAGCAGAGTTAGGAATAAAATATGTGCATAAATAGCGTATTATATTCTGGGCATGTGAAATCATTATGTTATCAAACCACACTCTTATGGTAGCTATTCTGTAAATTCATTGAATGGAAACATTATGCTGTAATGGAATACACGATTCAATATTTGTCAAGACTCCCATAGCAGATTACAGCTAGACAGGAAGACATTATTTGTAGTATATTTTGCTTCAGGTCATTTTTCAACAGTTACCTTGTCCTTTCCACCAGGTGGTTGATCAGATTGATACCCTGACCTCTGACCTACAGCTGGAGGATGAGATGACTGACAGCTCCAAAACGGACACCCTGAACAGTAGCTCAAGCGGCACAACAGCCTCCAGCATAGAGAAGCTCAAAGTGCAGGCCAACGCACCTCTCATTAAACCCCCAGCACACGCGTCTGCTATCCTCACAGTCCTGAGAAAGCCGAACCCCCCACCGCCTCCACCACGGTTGACTCCTGTGAAGTGTGAAGACCCCCAAAGGCCGGTGCCAGCCGCCAATCCAGTTAAAACCAACGGCACCCTTCTGCGGAACGGAGGCTTTCCAGGAGCACCAAACAGAATTCCCAATGGAGACATCGGCTGCCCACCCAGTAACAACTCGGACAAGGTGTCCCTGCAGCCTCTGATGCACAGACCTGAAAAAGACAGGTGTCCCCAGGCAGGGCCTCGGGAGCGGGTTCGGTTTAATGAGAAAGTGCAGTACCATGGCTATTGTCCTGACTGCGACGCCCGGTATAACATGAAAAACCGGGAGGTCCATTTACACAGCGAACCTGGCCAGCCACCAGGAAAGCTTCCTCAGCCAGGCCCTCCCCGCCCTCCTCCACCCCTTCACCCTCCATTTCCACTTGAAAATGGGGGGCTGGGACTAAGCCACAGTAACAGCTTCCCCCCGCTCAGACCTGCAGCTGTGCCTCCTCCCCCTGCACCGAAGCCACAGAAGACGATCTTGAGGAAATCCACCACTACAACAGTGTGATGTATGCCATTTAAAAACATTTTTTGTTTTATTTTAATTTTTATATTATAAACATAAAATAATAAGTAATGAGCACTTTCTACTCAAGCAATAAAAAGCCCAAATATATTAACCCTGCATTCAGCAAAGTGGCATAAAAATCACCTGGTAAGTATGCAGTACATTGTTTATATCCTGAATGTACACTACTTAAAAAGTTGCGTCATCAAAAAACTATACAATCATGAAAAAGATGAATATGTTGGCTCGTTTTCAATTGACTTGTGACAGTGACCTGCAGTTTGATTTACTATAACAGATGGGATTAGATTTATTTTATTCATGCCTAATTCATCTATGTATTAAGAACATATCAATATGATTAACTTTGACCTAATGCTTTTTAATAAGAATTTTAACACTGAAGGATCATTTTATTATTTTTCCCAAAGATGTTTGTCATTAGTTTTGCAGTATTCAATGCTAAAGACAATACCAAAAAGATTATTTTCTATACTATAAAATTTAGATCATATATGTTCAGCTACATAGCTGTTAAAAGATTTTGGTGTGCGGAAATATCATATGTCAATAAACAGTAGATAGTTGCAAAACCAAATGTTCATCAGGATAAAACTGAAGCAGTGGTGCATTTAGTGCCATGTTCTGTTTATCAAAGTGAGTGAGAATAGACAGTGGAGTAATGTTTGGACAGGAGTACTGGGGCAGTGTTTGGAGAAGATCGCTGTGAATGGATATGAGATTTTTCCAGATTAAATATCATAAGCAGGTCATAAATGGAACTTGACACATTTTCCTATTATATTTTGGTACCTCAAGGGTCCTCTGCTGAACGCCTCTGACATTGCCAACCCCTTCGGTCCTTTCTCACACTGGGCGCTCCTCCCGGACACCCCATAAGCCAGTACACTGAAGCAGTGGGGTGATTTGCCTCTCACATCAGCAAGCTCTCCGCCTTCCTGAGGGAACCCCATCTAGAGGAGAGTCAGGGGAGAAAATAAAGATGCTTCTGGAACAGGGTGCTTTAGCATTAGCCTTCAGCCCATTGCACTAAGGGTTGAAATATGCCAGGGGTCTGTTATTTCTGTGGAAGGAAGACAAGAAATTCTTTCCACCTAGCAGCCAGGGAAAGTTCTTTTCTTCAGTCTGATTTGCTGACTCAGGTCACTTACTCACCCAAGGACCAAGTTACTTCCCAAATACCATGGTTTGGACTGATTGGATATTTTGCCCTGGAACTAGAAATGAGTTTATCTCCCCTAAAACCATGATGACAGGGGCATACACGAACCATATTTTCTCATTAAGTGGGAAGAGTAGAGGGAGTCATTTTTGGTGAAAATTTGTTTATACAGCTTAATAAAGAGTACTGTAATTTTTTTAACTGTGAATTTAATTTTTATTGCTACATTTCTTTGTCACCTTTTCCAAGGTATATCATGATAATTTGGAGTACTATTTTTAGTAACTTTGTATTAAAAGATCATAGTATATTTTAGATAGAATGACATACAATAGGATTTATTTTTTAAAGGAATAATCAAATGAGTAAAAACAGGATGGTCATGTTCCAAATTTACTCAGAAAGACTTTTGTGTTCATTGGACATGAAGAGGATAAATCTAATTTTTCTGAAAGTTAAAAAACATGAGACCAATAATCAAGAAAGTCCACAGTCAAAATTGTCAGGAAAGCTTTTGTCAGAAGATGGATTTTTAAAAACATTATTAATTGCATAATCTGTATATTTAAAAACAAATTATATTTGTCAGGTAAAAAAATAATTGATTTATCAAATGCCAAAATAATATATTCTTAACTTTTATGCATCTACATAGCTTGATGTAAATAAACCCAGGGTTTCATTATTTTTATAGATTTAAATAATTACTTTCTTCCTAATATTTATTCAGTGTTAGCCCTGTGGTATTATAGTCTTAGAAGACATGCAGTTTTATCCCTTCAGCTCTTCTTTCTTGTACAGCCTGTTGTTCTGACCCAGTAATTACCTTATCATTTTAGACATGGACCTCCTGTTGATATCTGGGAACCAATCTGGACCTCAAAGTACAGCTTCTTAGCAACTGCAAATCATTCAATAAATAGATAACTTATGCAATAAAGCAAGTCAGATAAGTTGAATAATTCAATCTGATTGAACATGGATATTGAGCCAGATGCCTGATCACAACCTTTGAGGTTTAAATCTCTCTCTACCTCAGACCTACCCCATGAAAAACTATCTTTTTAAGTACAATTAGTGGCATATGTCCAAACAATAGTACCTGTTTTTATTTAACATATTTATAAGTAACTACTGACCTGGAAGTCTGAGTTAAATCCAAACCTAAAAAAAGTTACAGTTTAGACCTTCTTCTCTTAGTATAGTTAATTATGTAATCAAGAGTAAGTGTTAGATCACAGCAGTGTGGGATTTTCTTGAGTTTATTTGGTCCATGTATTATTTTCTCCCATTAATGTATGGAATATATTGGGCCAATAGGTTGTGTTTCTTTTTTTGCCCCAACCAGTGATTTGGTAGCATTCACTGAAATTTAGCTATGTCTTCAAAATATATATAAATTTGTAAAATGTGGAAAGCAATTAACACAGAGCATCGTAATATTTATCTGGAATCTTGTGATTAAAATGTTGTAAGTGGCAGTGCAGTTTCCGTAATGAGCCAACATTGCTTTCAAAATTTAAATTCTGAACTGCAAGCTCTCCACATCATCTATTAAATCATCATAACATGGTACGTATTTTCTATTCCTGAGGTGCCAGAGCAGAAATCCTTTCCTCAAATCACTAAAGGAAGGTTTTTTTTCACAATATGCATTTGAATACTTTCAGTCATATAGAGAGTAATGCACACAGAGCTGGCCTCTGCACTCCTCTGTAAGTGATGTTTCTACACAATATAAAATGGTAATACTCCCCATAACAATATCCATTCTTAATGAAAGTCAGCACTTATGTTTTTGAAAATGTAGTATTCATCAGGTAAATTGGAACAGGAAAGGCTTTATCTTGTCCCACTTGTGAGATGGGAGGTTGTTGTATCCCTACTGATGTAGGGCAAAAGGAAAATAAAGATCGACCAAAGTCCTCTTTTATTTCCTACTAGTTATAGCAGCTATAAAAGGAAATAAAATATATTTTAGGCCATGCTTAAGCTAAATATAAAATATCTGCTCAAAAATACAGGGCATACAAAAAGAGAAATTTCTCATTCTTCTAATTTTATATTATCTTTATACCTCCCCTCAGTTTAATAATCTAGAAAAATGAGTCTGCTATTAACTGGTTTCATTAACATAAAAACATTGTGTTTGAGTTATACCTGCATCTAATTACTTAATAAATAAAGGAATAAAGCACTGTGCTATACAACTTTTTTTGGACAGATCAGTAGTTGAGTTGCTTTTAGCATAACCAAGAGCAGCAGGTGAAACTATGCAATACTTTTTATCTTCAGGATCTAATTGTAGCTCTTTTTGGATCCTCCATGAAGAAAAGCCTGAATAGTCCCACATATGATTGCACTGGTTGTAGTATAATCAAGTCATGAATCGCTGCCTTGACTGAATTTTTTTCCATGGAATATATGCAAAAATGCAAAGTCAAGTTTGTAATTGTCCTGATTCAATTTCTTTCTCCTGACTCTCTATGAGTAGCACATCTTTCTACAGTGTGCACTCAGATTTGTAGTAAAAGATTGCATTGTAATGAACTTTAGTACATGCTGATGATTTCTAAGTTAGAGAATGATGTATGAACAATAAAAATCCATACCCCATAATTAAGTAAAGTGCACAGACTCTGATGATTAATAGACCTATCAGAAAATCACATGATGTTTTCTGGGTCAATTTGACACTGTATTTAATTTTTAGACTACACAGTATGAAGTTTTAGAATTGTTCAAGTTGCCTGCTTCTGAAATAATGACAATGTGATGCTACCGTTAGGACTAACAGCAGTGTTGAACTGCAAATATGTAGGTTGTTATTTTCATTGGAACCTTGGATTTATCAGTCTGGTCTTTGGGGGAGAAAAACTAAAGTGTAACATAAAGAAGATTTGGAAATAAACTTCGCTTTAAAATGTAGTTAAATTAACAAAGGGTATAACATTGTGTGAAGTCCAAGGGAAGATAAGGAAGAAGTACTGCTTATAATTTATAACCTCTAGAGTGATCAAAGACAGGTAAGCTATTATTAACTGCTTTATAAAAACTTAACATACATTAGAGTTCCTCTAAGTCTCATATGCATGTATAAAATAATTATTATTATCCCTATTTACAAGTGAAGAAATGTATCTCACTATCATAATTTTACTGAAAGCAACTCTTTAGTAAGTGAGTTGGTTGGTATGTTAGTGACAGCCTGACTACCCATAATTTTCTCCCCACAACATCACCATTTAATTGTGTTCTTCATAGACCTGAACTTGGCAAAATTTTCCTTTTATTCTCAGATGTTATTTTGATGCTTGAAAGGGGTTACCTAATGTTGTTTTGACATTCCTAATATGTTTGATCTCTGAAAAATATGAAAGTGATCTCAGGCAATTTAGCTACCGTCTAAAATGAATGAGCTGCTGAATAATGCAAGCCTCAGTGTTTCATGTCTTGCACCAGCAGCCCCACCTTCCAGTTCTTTTCCTCTAAGTTCAAAGGCTGTTGATTATTTTCATTTCTTCCCCTAAGGAGCTCTGATTTCATAGTATTAATGCTATTTGACCCTGAATGTGTCACTTCCATTACTGGTCTTTCATTTGTGATTTACATCTACTTAACATTCACCCCTACAGCTAAAAAAAAAAGAAAGAAAGAAAAAAGCAGCATGTCCACTCTGTGGAACCACTAAAAGCCAGTGCATTAAAACTGCCTCTAATGAAATAATTTTCGTTCTTTTGTTATTGGACTATAGATATTTGATAGTGCACTTGTCATTTATCCTAAATATCAAAAGGAATTTGGATCAGCTAAATAAA